CTGGCCGTGTCCCGGTCCTGGCTGCATGACACCACCCGCCAGTGCTGGGTTTGCTGCCAGCTGCACGTGCCCAACGCAACCCCTGCACAAGGGCCTGCCAACAGCTCTGTGAGGCTGGCGCTCCTGCCTAATTTGCAATGAGCTTATCAGGGCTGGGTAAGCTCATTTCACAGACAACCCAAATTTAATACACATGGAAAGTGAGGTCTCCTCTAGCAACAAGATCTGAGCTCACCCAAGGACATCAGAGCGAGCGAGCCAGGAACAGACTCCAAGTCTCCAAACTTACACTCAGTGCCTAATTCAGATTTTACGCCCAAACAAGCTCAAGAAATTCAGAGTACTGTTCCCACAGGGAAAATGTAAAACTGCCCCAGGGGAACTAGCTGCTAGAGTGTTGCAGAGTGAACAGAGCTCCCTTGGCTCCCAAATCCTCCAGAGGCACAAAGACCCCGGGGGTGTCCACCCTGGATGGCCCAGAGTAGTTCAGAGATGGTCACTGCCCTTCCCTCCTGCTAACGTCTGCATCACTCCAAGGCTTCACTGGGTTAAAATTTGTCCCTGCATCAGAAGGTGTCCCTCCTGAGCAAGGTCCTGCTCAGTGCCCTGCCCCAGCCAATCAAGCCATGGATTTTAGCGAGGTCCTATGAGGCCCAGTGCTCCCTCCGGGTGAGAGCATCCATGGCACCACAATCCTGACCGGGCATTCTCTGTGTCACCAAGGGGCTCCTGCCAGCCACGCAGGCAGCTGCCCTCTAGGGTTGCACTCCTGCCATGCGACATCCACCCTCTCCTCTGCCTTGCCTAGGGAACAGCTGGATAAAGCCGTCAAGCCTGGAGCTAAGCCACTGCAGTGCATCAGCTATGGGAAGAGCTGGCCTGTCCAGAGTGAAAACTCCACTCCCCCCACTCTCCATGGAGTGCAGGAGAAAGGCTGGAAACCATCGCAGAGCTGGTCATCAGCAGCTCCCTTCTCCTTCTGCCACCACACCGCAGAAGCAGAGAGCGCAGTGCCAGAAAGCCATCAATATCTTGCAGCCGAGCTTCAGCCTTCTCCTGTGACCAGCCAGCACCAAGCAAAGGAAAAAGCTGAAGGGGAAATTGCCGCAGCTCATCCTTCATTCACTTGGGATATCCTGCCTGGCTGGGAATAAGGGTTTGCAGGGCAGGAACCCGAGAGAAACTCTGGGGCAGCACTCGGGAAAGAGCATGCACTTTCCGTTTGTGAAAACCGTGTTTAGACTGAAGGCTATAAACAGGATCACACCCACCTCCCTACCAGCCCAGGAGCCCTTCCCACATAGTTCAGGCTCCCCCGCGTGTAGGACTGACCACCTAAACACCTTGGGGCACAAGCTCAGCCCCAAGGCTGTTAGGAAGTGGAAGGAACTCATTAGCAATTCACCCCAGTGTCATGCCTAGTTTGTACATAACGTGGGCGACAGGCTGTATGGAAAAGGTACGGGGAAAGGCCACACATCATTTCTCTAGAGACCAAAGGCTGATATTTTCCCATTTATAATCCATACATCTCTATTAAAATTGCTCGGAAATCTGAAGATGGCGAAGAGAGCAGCCACAAAACCATTTCAAGGGATGGAAAGACTTTTCCAGTGAAAGACTTGTACAATTCAATTTGTTTGTCGTGCTAAAAAGAGAAGGCAATGACTTGATTTCCCAGTTCTTTAAGGCAATAATCCATCAGGCACCAGAGATTCTCTAATCCAGAACAGAAACACATAATAGGAACCAACATGTCCAAGTCAAAGCCAGACAAATGCAACTGAGGAATAAGGATCATGCTTTTAACACTGTAGGTGATTAACCACAGGAACAAGTTAACAAGGAAAGTAGCAGTATCTGTTGTGGAGACAGTCAAACCCATGTCACCGGGCTCAACACATATGTACCCCATCTGTGCTAGGGAAGAAAACCTGCGATTTTGCTATAAACTTCTCTAAGACTCTGAACTAAACCTGGGTTAAGAAGGCAAATGACCGATGTTCACGTGCTGCAGCTCTTACATAAAAATTATTAGAGACGTAACATCTCAGATCCTACAGCAGTTTAAAACCTGAAAACATCAACAGACTAGGCCCTGTGCTGCACTGCCCTTGGGCAAGCAGGGACACCACTATGCTGCCACCATGACCACAGGTCCTTGTCCCTCCAGCGTGTTCCCCAGCATATCCACAGGCATTGCAAGTTGCCAGTGAACTCGCCGGCAGCGCTCTTTGCAACTACATACGTTGCTGAGCAGAGCTGCTCTTCGTCACAGGGTTAAACCCAAGCCAAGTACACTTGAAAGAACTCCCTGGGGAGCGAAGCACTGCTGGAGCCTGAGCATCAGCGGCGTGGAGCAAGCAAGTCCCTGGCATAGGACAAGCTCAGAGGATGCAGCTTCCACCCACACCTATCCTGAGCCAATTAGTGAGCGCATAAACTCGTTCAGCTTGAACCAAAGAAACTTGTGCACACGGGAGTCAGATCAGAGGCAATGTTCAGGCTGTGCTTTGGGCTTGTTAACACTGCAGTGAAGAAAATGATGTATTTGCTAAAGGCTGGTATCGCACTGGGCTATAATTATAAGGAATGGGGGTTTTTGTCGCTTAATCATTATAGCTTGTGTTAGGTTTCCTTTGAACAGTTTTACCACGCTGTACTGAAACAAGAACGCACCAGAAGAACTATTGATCTTTTCCTGAATAGAGCTGAGTCTACACAAGCGTCTTTCTACTCTTTCTCCCAAGCTCTCTCCAACATTATT